TGGAAATGCAGCCTTAATAAACACTTTCGAACGCCGTATCTACAGGTATTTTCTAATGCCTTAAAGTATCCATTACAGTAAACAAAATAAAAATAAATAATATTTTCCAGAATATATGCTAATTAGATACTGTGTTGAAAACCTGATACTATTAATTTAATATAATGGAAAAAAATCACAAAGATACCTCTAAAATGTTCTTTTAACGATTAAAAGCCATACTAATATACATGCAATCGTTCTGATTATTTTCTACAAGCAACATACTACCGTAATAGTGTTTTAATTTTTTATTACAATCAAACTCACAGAATACCATCGTAAAATAGCATCTTAACACTGCAATGTTTCGTATAGTGAGTGTAAAGAACCGGATACCTTTTTTGCTGGAAAAGAGGTATTCCATCTTAGTCCTCACGGGTGACAATTTATTGAGGATTATGTAGACTGTGGACTGTGTGCTTGTTTGTCACCATATCCTATAAAAAAAGGCCTCAGGTCAATAAAAGGTAGTTATTTCGCTATTACCGACAGATAGGATATAATAGTCGGTGGGATTCCTTTTGTGTCCAGTGGACCGTCTGGGAAGGCACTACCTAGTCACCAATTTCCACTGCCAAATAGTATTGGGTGCTTGTTCCTGCCTGATGTGTATAAAGATTAAAGAGCCAGCATAAATACAGGATGTAAGTCATTCCCTTTTAGTACTTAGATGACAACGCATGTTTATATGTCTTTGTTTGAAGTTGACTTCGGATATCCTTGGACTTAGTAGGCATTTACCATCAGGTGGACTGTTAATTTGTTTGTTATATATTTTTATTGAAAAAAAAAACACCTAAATAATCCCAGTTGACACCACTACTTCCTTAATGGTCTGATGATACGACGCGAATTATCGAAGAAAACCTTAGCGGAGAGAATTGTGTGTCTTCTTATCTTTTTCATTATAAAACTTAACGACTTTTTTGCACAATTTAATTACGAGCGTTGAAAAACAAATGCGCTTCAATAAAGTATTAAGAAAAAAAAGTTTATTTACAATCATGAGAACATACGGCCTTTACATCGCACTTTGATTCGAAACAAAAACAGCTTTTATGATCTTATATGAATCTGGGATCACGAGGAATCACAAACTACTACCACTGAAAAATATTTCAATCAATCCAGTAAATTAAACAAGCCAATCGAATACCTTTAATTTTGTTTGATCCATTTCGAGGATGAAACAAAAGCTTTTTTTTTCTCTTTATTTGGATCACCAACAAACGATACACAATACTAACAAAAATATAACTTAACAATGCGACTACATGCTATGTGTTCATCTTCTTACATGTAACCACAACTTTTTTTTTCAATTTATAGGGTAAACAAAGAACATCACAATAACAAATGGTTATAATAGTGTTAACTTATATATTATTGATAATTGTGACATCCACACCGTTTACCACGAGCATTATGAACAAATTGTTTTTACAGGTTGAGAGTTTTATTCGTATGTACATTTTTCACTGTTGTGTGTAGTGTACAGTGTCATGCAGTTCCTTAATTACTAAGTTTCTGTAAACGCTTACACTATTTACAAAAATATCAATATGACTGAAGTTACGGTTATAAGAATTTAGTATACGACGTATAGGTGCACGCATGCCTGCGTTAGTGCGTGATTTTCATGTGGCAAATAGGTGTTTCGAACGACAGGCTCGCATGTACGACTTAGTAGGCACTCTATAGTTAATATTATTGACAATATCAGAACAGTCGTACCTGTTATGGCAAATGTCATACAAAAACATGGTTTGCATTTGAATTCTCCTAGACTTCAAGTCTAAGAGTTTATATCTTTGCAATAGCTGGTGGTATGATTGATAGTTTTGACAGCATTTATAGTGCATACAACGCAGAAATTTCTTTTGCACTCTTTCTAAACTATCTGAGTATTTTATATACAAAGGATCCCAAATACAAGCAGCATATTCTAACTGTGAACGGATTAAGGTCTTATAAATATGTAAATATGTATTAGGACGTACGAAGTCATTACTGGCTCGGAGTACAAAACCATACATTTTATAAGCCCTACTACATATGTTATCAACATGTGCATCAAGTGTTAACTTAGTATCCAATGTGACTCAAAGATCGCGAATAGTTTGTACTCTGGTGAGATTGTGGCCGCCTATGGAATAATTATGTGGACTCCACGTTCGTTTTCTTGTAAATGTAATAACTTTACATTTATCGAGACTTAGTTGTAGTTTGTTAATGCTACAGTAATTGTTAAATCTATTCAAGTTCTCCTGGAACTCGCGGTGATCATTAGAATTATGTATAGTTCGATAAATTTTTAGGTCATCTGCATATAATAAGAAATTACAATGCTGAAAGCAATTATTTATATCATTAATAAACAGAATGAATAACAGGGGGCCAAGAATAGATCCTTGTGGCACACCAGACGTTATAACAACCGTACTTGATTCATATCCATTGATGACCACTTTTCGTGTTCTGTTTGTTATATACGACTTAAACCACCTCCAAAGATTTCCGCGAATCCCGTTGAAAGCAAGTTTTTCTAGCAGTATTATATGATCCACTCGGTCAAACGCTTTCCGAAAATCTGTATAGACACTATCGGTATGCGTATTAGTGTCTATATTGTCAAACAATTCAGAAGTATAAACAATAAGATTAGTGATAGTGGACCGTTTACGAACAAACCCATGTTGCTGTGGAAGGATAGTCCTATGCAATAGTGGATAGATATTATTATGCACCAGTCTCTCCATAAGTTTAGATAAAGTGGGAAGGATTGAAATTGGACGATAGTTGACTACATCTCTTTTTACGCCTCCTTTATGTATTGGTGTTATCCTGGCTGATTTCCACACAACTGGAAATGTACTCTCTGTTAGACATTTATTATATAATATGACCAACGGTTTACATATGGTTACGGCAGTATTTTTAATGAAAATAGGGGGAATGTTATCAAGGCCTACGCTTTTAGTAATATCTAGTGCCTTTAGTTCTTTTAATACATCTGCTTCTGATAGGTGTATGTCATTAATAATAGTGTCATTAAGCATACCATTGTCTCTATCATCTATATGGTCAATACAGAAGGAGTCAGATATATCAGTAGGCTGGAGAACTGAATGAAAGAAGGAAGAAAACAGGTTACAAATGCCTTCAGGACTATCCGCCTTAGTTCCGTCATAGTGAACACTATTTGGAATATCTGATTGATTTTGACGATTTTTTATGTAAATCTAAAAGTATTTAATATATTTTGGAATATTGTCTTCTACTGATTTCATATATTTGTTGTAACAAATCAATGATTCTTTCCTAAACCTATCCCGATACATTGAAAATGTAGAAGAATAGGATTTGTTTTTATATATTTTCCACTTAATCCAAGCTTTGTTTTTATTCTTAAATATGTGTATCAATGCAGGGATAAACCATACTGGAAATTTTGAATTGGAATCCCGTCTAGAGGGAACGCGTTTAAGTATAAGATCAAATATATTTTCATAGAAAACGTTAACACTTTCTTCGGCAGTTTTATTTTGAAATAGTTCACACCAATTAATTTCTAACATATCGTTACTGATTTGTTTATAATTAGCATTCTTGTAACAATATCTGAAACGTGGATTCGTTGGCATAGGTTTGGATAGGTTATTATCAATTTGTATTAAGAGGTAATAAGGAGGATGATGTACGTCAGGTGGGACTAGAGTGATAGGCGCAGAGAATGTTTTACTATTGTGTACGTTAGTTAGGCATAAATCGAGTAACCTATTCATATTATTTTTAAAAATATTCACTTATATACAGTCCATGACGGACATGAAATTTACTAAGTAAGAATATGGTACCAGTCAAGACAAGGCAAATTGAAATCGCCAATTAAATAATAGTTATCATATCCATTTAACTGTATTATCTCTTCTAGTTTATTAAAATAATTAAAATATAAATCAGAATCTAGACCGGGTGGTATGTAATTCGCGCTTAATAAATAATAAGACTTACCGATGTGAAATTCTAGTAGAATATGATCTATGATGGGTGGGATATCGAAGGGGGCAACGGGAAGTGCGGGCACGCAGCGCACTGCACACAGCGAGCGTAATACAGCCACCAACACCCCGCCACCATAGTGACGCTTTGTTACAGCGCGATCTCGGTCGCAACGGAACACGCTGTAGCGGGAATGCACAAATTCACTGTTTACAATGCAATCATGTAACCAAGTCTCGGTTAATATTATAACATCATAATTATGCGATAATATGTTCATGTAAATAGTATTTAATTTAGTTCTCAAACCGCGGCAATTTTGATAGTAGACTTGACATTGTTATTTATGTTATTGAATTTTGTATCGATAACTATATGGTATTGCATACAAATCATTAGAGCCACAGTGGTTACAGAGTAGGATATTCAGTATAAATGCACACGTTGAATTGTAAAAACATGAACTTTGTTTATTGATTAAATTAAATATCGGTGACAAAAACAGATAAAAAGCAATTTTGCGTACCTAAACAGATATTAATGTTATGCCATGAGTATTATGATTGGAAATAATAACAGTAATTAGAGTTTTGGAAGAGTAATTAAGCAGATCAGATATGTAACAATTTAACCAAATTGTATGTCTTCCATAAAATACTAAGAGGATATTAATTAAATTTAAAAGAGTGCACTTTAAGTCTGAGAGACGAAGGTACAAAAAAATTACACTACATGTATTTAGTCTATTGTAATAACAATATTTACTTATAAAAGTGTGATTACTTATAATAATATAATATGTGGAACGTTGACTTAACCATTTGAGAATATATATTTTCTTGTGACACATAATATAATGATAAAAATTGGTTATATTTACATATGTAGGCGTAAATAATTTATTTTTAAACCTGTTTATGACGTTGCAATGCTGCCTATTGTCATCCGGGTGTTGTTCATTTGATTCGTGCGATGTCCTGGAGGGATCTGATTACGATAGCGGGTGAAGTATCCGTATTGCGAGCCAGAACGGTGCCATGTTTAACCCAAACATATTTATACTCGTTTTTCTTAGCAGCCTCCCGGCACTGACGAAACAACAATTTGTTATTCAACGTTAAATGCTCGTTAACGTAAACGGTGGCAGGCCGGCCAGGTACGGACAATGATGTCGAATTCAACCCTTTCGTAGCACGGCAGGTAGTAATCACATTGTCACGCAGTGTCCTGTTTGCGAACTTTACTATAACATTCTTCGGACGTCGATCATTTTTGTCAGCATGAGGTACACGATGAACGGCTATTATGTCGGATGATTGTAAGGGATGCTTAATAGCATCACCCAAACACTCAATTATGCTGTTTAGATTCTCACCTCGCCTGTCGGGGATATTAACTATTTCGACATTGCACTGTCTTGCTTGCTGTTCCATAGTATGTATTTTGTTCTCAAGTAGTTTTATTTGACTTTTAAAGCCATTTTATTGTGATATATTCTGTTCTACAGTTTTCAGTCGACTGTCAAATAAGTCCTGTCGTTCATTCGAGAAGCTAAGTGATTTCTCTATTTCGCACAGTCGGGTGTTAACTTCGTTCACTGATTTATTAAGGTTGATAGCATCCGTGTTAAGTTTCAACACATTATCATTAAGTTCTGATAACGCAGAGGTAATCTTTGATAGCTCGCCCTTTAGGACCGTATTTACTGCGGTGGCAATGCTATGCCGACCGAAAGCGAAACGAAGAGATTCGCAATATGGCAGGTTTGAAAGATGACCTTATCACAAAAATTGATAAGGGCGTTTTCGGTGGTTTGGGCACGTTGAGCAAATGAGTGAAGACCGAATGGTGAAGAAAATATATAGCGCGAAAGTTAATATTAAAAGGTGTCGAGGTAGACCGAGACTAACTTTCGAAGACCATGTGAGCAAATTGCTCGAAGAGGGTAGGGTCAAGAGTACTCGGATACCTAGACGTGCATGCATGAAGAAGATAATGAATCTGAAAGAAGCGAAAGAGGTTTGTAAGGATCGTGACACTTGGCGATCTGTTCTCTCTGGCTACCCCGTCAGGGATTGTGCGTGAAGATAAGTAAGTAAGTAAGTAAGTAAGCAATGCTATTTGCGATGCAATCGCTAAGGTTTTATTCCATATTAGCATTTGATTATCAAATTTTTCTTCAAATTTAATCATATTTGTATCAATTTTATCATTTTCCATTTGTTTACGTTTACGGGTAGTTATAAAACTTTCGCCGCTAATCTTCTTTACCGATGCAGGAATATCACCGTCCGATGAAAACACATTCGGTGGTGTGCGTTGTAAAAACATCGTAGTGTGCAGGTATATTGTAGTTACACAAGTGTGAGAGAGTTAAAAAATATAGCGCTGTCCTTACGCCTACCGATGAGGAAGTGAGGTTCCCGCACTGCCACAGTCCGACGATGCTATGTGAGAACGAGACGGCAATTGCTGATTTATTGTTTCTCACTCGATCCACTAGAATGGACTACAATCTTAGTACAGTAATCACGACACTAATAAATATCGCACTAAGATCTATTTTTGTATACATACAATTAGATTTTTAAGGAAGTCGTTAATACAGGGTACAACTCTGAACGCTTGTTGCGGACGGAATGAAACAACAACTTACATAAATAGCGAAGTGATTTTTTTTAAATAGAAAACAGATAGTTATATGATAATAAATATACATGGAAAACCAGATTTGATATAGCTACAGTTTGTGGATTTCATGCTTACATTCTATATTTTATTTATTTATTTTATTTACTTATTTATTACTGTTTTAGGAGAACTTACAGCTAGTTATAAATGTATGAACAATAAAAAAAATGTACTGAAGGCCAATTAAAAGTTCCCACTTATAAATAAAGTACAGAGAAAAATTGCACAAGTAACGTAGACGTAGATTTAATTACACAATAAAAGATGATTTAAGAAGTAAAATGAAATAAATAACAATGCATGGTATATGTAATACACATCAGTAAAAGAAAAACTTATTACTCAGTAGATGCTTGAGCTGTCTGCTAGAGGTGTTAAATAAGTCTACATTTTGTATTTTCGCCACGTGATTGAAACACTTGCTCACTCTTATTAAATAAGAATTTTGTCTGTAGTTTGTATTTACTCCCGGCACGTATAGTTTGCATGGCTTGCGTGAAGATGCGTATGGAACTTGTAAACGTATTTGCTCCAACAGTTCGGGACAGTCGATCGTGCTATTAGCTATATTAATTAAAAAAGATAGATCTGCTATGCGCCTTCTTTCATATAGCGGCAAAATGTGAAACTTTCGGCAACGTGTTGTGTAATCCGGTAGAAAGATCTTAACTCTAAATTGAAGATAGCGAAGATTTTTTTTCTGAATCCGTTCAATACGCGTAGAATAAATATTATAAGTAGGATTCCATACTTGAGAGGCATACTCTAGATGACTTCGTACGAAAGCACAGTAAAGAATTTTGAAGGTTTTAAAAGAATTGAAATCAGAAGACATTCTTAAAATAAATCCAAGCGCTTTAGAGGCTTTGTTTATAATATTGTCAATATGTTTATTAAACAGTAATTTGGCGTCAAAAATTACTCCTAAATCGCGGATAGTGTTGACTCTAGTTATATCTATATGTTTTATAGTGTAGCGGAAAATTATAGGTTTAGTCTTCCGTGTGTATGTGCAAATGTAGCATTTAGAAACATTTAAGTGTAATTTGTTGTATAAACAGTAATTTTTAAAACTACCCAAGTCTTCTTGCAAATGATATGCGCTTTCAAGGGACGTTATAGGACTTAATATTTTCATATCATCTGCGTAAAGTAGGATTTTTGAGTACTTGAATCATGTGATGATATCATTAACAAAAATATTGAAGAGTAAAGGCCCTAACAAGGAGCCCTGTGGGACACCAGATGGTATTGGCGTGGCCTTAGAGGTGTAACCATTTAGGGCAACTGTCTGACTCCGATTTTGAACGTAAGAGGTAAACCACCGATATAAACTACCTTGTATTCCTACTGATTGAATTTTGTGTAATAGTAGCAAATGATCTATTCGATCAAAGCATTTGCTATAGTCTGTGTAGACCACATCGACTTGTGAGGGCTCTGACATATGTTCTGATAAGTAGTCACTACATAATATAAGATTAGTAGTTGTTGACCGACCCTTGACGAAACCGTGTTGTTGACAGCTAAGTGTATGTTTTAGGACAGCATATAGTTGATCATAGACAATTCTTTCGAGTACTTTTGCAAATAGACATAATTTGGAAATAGGTCGGTAGTTGTCAACTTGATCTTTTGGTCCTTTTTTGTAAATTGGTGTAACATAAGCTGATTTCCAGATTCTTGGCATTAAAGCTTCTGATAAAGAACGCTCTCTTGGCGCATCTCACGATAAAAACAGCAGGTGTGTTGTCAGGCCCAGCTGATTTACTTAAGTCAAGTGATTTCAAAAGCTTAAACACTCCATCAAATGTGACCTCTATATCCCTAATATCAGATGGTATATTATAGTTCACTTGAGAGGTGACATCTGGGTTAATGTACGTATGGGTAGTATTTAAAAAAGTTGACTGAAAATAATCACTAAACAAAATGCAAATTTCTGCGCCACAATCTGACGATTTATTTCCAAAACGTAATACAGCGGGATATGAATTGACTTTGTTTTTTGTTTTTATGTAAGACCAAAACGCTTTAGGATTATTACAAATATTTTTTTCTACGTTTGAAATGTATGTATCAAACATTTGTTTTTCCAGAGTCTTGGCTTGTTCTCTGAGTCTAATAAATGATTGTAGGTCAGATTGATTCCCGTATTTCTTATATTTCGAGTGATACTTATGTTTTTCTTTCAAAATTTTAATTAGGGGTTTCTTATACCATAATGAATATTTAAAACTTGGTGTAAAAGTCTTAGTAGGGATATAAGTTTGACGGAGTTCAGCTAATTTGTTATAAAACAATTTGTTAAATAACAAGGCATCTTCTAACGGCTTAGAGTTAAGTTCTTGATGCCAATCAATTGCATCAAGAACTTAACCAGAATCAGAAGTAATCACCAGATTGATATAGAAATTTAGTATAGGTACGACTTTTAAGAGTGTGAAGTTGAATAAATTCTTCAACCACACACAGAGCTGGATGATGAGTATCTTCGGGTATTAGCGGGTTTCCGCAGTGGTTAACAGCTAACGTGCTGTTAGAAAATATTAAGTCTAAAATTCTATTATTTGTGTTATGTATATAATTGTATTGTGATAAATTACATATATTAATGTTATCAAATAAATCAAATTGATAAGAGCCCTGTATGTTCTCGGGAATATATGAAATGTTTTAATCACACGACTTCTAGATTATGTTAGGCATGTTAAAATCGCCAAGAATTATAAATTTATCGCAAGGCTGTTTTAATATTGTATCACAAAATTTTTCGGAGTATGCGGTTAATTGAGTTGGTAGTGAACAAAATACGCTTTGGTTACACATATATATACCGTACAAATATGCAGTTTATAAACTACCTTAGGATTCCGGCATTTAAGTGTCAATGTTACCTATAAGTCCTCGGCATTCGAACACCAATCACTACGAGCTTCTGCTGAGAGGTCCCGGCGAACAGCAATTAACACTCCACCCCCCCGCCAAACTATGTACCTATCATCGAATAATTCGCTATCTTTAACGCTTTCATTCAACCAAGTTTCTGATAAACATATAACATCATAAGAGTTTATGTTAATATTTCTATAGAAGGCCGAAGTTTTTGTACGTAAACCACGTACATTTTGGTAATATACCTATATTAATCGCCATTTTTGAACTTTAAAACTAGTACATAATTAGTTATAATAACAAGTAATAAATTTACAAAGGCGGAGTAAAGCAATATGTTTGAAAAGATGAGTAAACATGTTAAATTTGTAGGCAACGTTAAAAAAAACTAATAATACAATAAGGCTATAAGCGTAAACAAAATATACAAAAATGCAAAAGCAAATAGACGGTGGAGCGATATAATATGATTGAGTAAACAAGTGTGCAGCGGGAGTACGTGAATGCATAACGATATCAAGCAGGTAAACAAACTTAAATGTTAGAGAGCAAGCGTTTCTCAAACTAACTACAACACAGTTATGAGAGGATGATGATTCTAACAATATCAAAGCGCTAATTGTTATGACTAGGAAAACTTTTTTAAATCGGATTCCAATTTTATTGCAATTATATGAGTCGTTGGGTTTTTTCTTGCACACATGCTTTACCCAAACATAAGCAAACCCCCGCTCTTTGGCTAGTTTTTTGGCTATATTTAGCAACATCTTGTTTTCCAGAGTAAGATGGTCATTAACAAAGATTCTATTGTCACCTCTTTAACCCAGGTCCGCTGGAACAATGGTGCGCTTCTTCGCTGCGGCTACGAAGTCCTCCTTAAGGTATATATTATGCACTGAGATGATAATAGTTTTATTTAGTTTATCGTTACGCATAGGAATCCTCGCAATTTAATTAATTTGATTTTTTGGGATGACACAATTGATATGATCTCCAAGCTTACTAAAAATCTCAAAAAGGTTTTTTGATGGAGACATCGGTACTCCTTTGATCTCGATGTTATTCATACGAGACCTTTGTTCAAATTCCCGCATGGAGTCTTCAAAGTTCTCAAGACGTTGCTTCAATTGAACTACATCATCTTTTGTCTTCAGCAAAGTCTGGATTTCTTGATTCATTTCCGTCATCCTACTATTCAATGATTCAACAGAGCACTGAACAAATTCCAATGAAGTCCTCATATCAGCCACCTCCGGCTTCATAAGCTTAAGATCTTCGATATCGGCCTTTAAGGACTTTAGGTCGGCCACATCAGCTTGTATAGCCTTAACGCTTGCTATTAAGGTAGGAAGTGAGCTCATCTGTGAAGATAAGCTTTTAAGCTCCGAAGCAATCATCTCCATCTCCACCAGTGAAAGCGACTTAACAGAAGGTGTATTTTTTGAAGGTAGGTTTAGCGGACTAACAGCTTTGGCGCCCTTGCATCTCCAGTTATTTCTTCTATCCTCGCCTAACCTACGGTGGCCAGCTTCCGTTAATCCAGCGCATGGAAAGTCAAAACGTTCTTGGCAAACGGAACACTTTACCCCAAATCTCTGAAATTTCCGTCACAGCGCGTACACTTAAACATATTTTAATAGCTCACTAACAAGGTGGACAAAAAGTTTGAGAATCGCGTTAATGAGTAATTGCGAACTAGTTTGCGCTAGGTACGTGTGTAAGGTCCGGCGTCTACGTACGTACTGATACGTATATATAATATTGATAACCACGCGATGTAATTTGATACTGCTCACCAAAATGTAGTGAATACATATTGAAAATACTAGGAACAAGCATAAGTTAGTTTTACCAGTTACTCGACTTATTATAGTCACCAAAGAGTCAGTAATTCCTTCATATGGCAATCGCTATTATAGCTAACTCGTTGAAAATATGCAGGCCTTATCTATCAAAAAGTTTAAATATTTATTAATAAAAAAATTGTTTAGTAAATAGTACATGATTGATAATAACCCCTAGGAATGAGGTGATTGCAACTAAGCTGTTTTAAATTTTTACGTACTAATTGTATAAAATAATATATTATAAATTAATTTATTGAAATAAAGTCCCGCTGAGTTTTATTAAACCAGTGGGTAAAGCTTAAATGACTTTCATTAAGTATTCTTGTAATATATATTGAATAAAAGTATTATATTCTATTCTAGAACTTTTTGATGCTTATGACGGCTTACAAGTGGATTCACGTGGTGCGAGAACCGGCCTATTAGACTAAGCCTCATTAACGGTCAGCCACCGTAGAGTCTACATCACCTGAGGATGCTGCATGTAGAGGAGAAACACGTATCGTATTGTCGTCAGTGGTGTGTCTTGCCTAGTGTAGTGGTGTTGGGAGTAGTGGCGCTGGGATTAGTGGTGACGGGGATAGTGCACGCAATTGAGGGAGGGCGGGAGGTGCTCTTCATACTAAGTAAGACACATCATTGTATTTTATAGCGCGGATGTACGCAAAGTAATTTTTTTTAAAATTTTTATCTAAGCCTCATTGCCTAAAAAAAGGAAAAACTTATTACAAGTTATATATACAAGTACTAAAATAGCTAAAATCAATGTATCGAGTCTTGTTGTTCATTAATATAAACATACCTACGTATTACCATAAAGGTTAATCAATATTATGTCTTGTTATTGTTTTTGATATAATTAATAGAATCAGGCGTTACTTTGCGGAAGTCGATTATATTAAAGTTGGCAAAAAACTCTTCAAACTAGGTAAGACATGTCGTTTTATTTTATCGAGCGGATGTACGCGAAGTAATTTTTTGCCAACTTTAATTGTGTTTGATATTTAAGTTTTGTTGTTTTTTACTGGACAATGGAATGGAAATTCAGGACTTTTCATAGAGACTCCTGTCGAAATAAAACATTTAATATGAAGTATGCAAATAATTTATTTTCCTAGTTTGGCAACTACTATGGATTCCTACCTACTACTGGATTCTGTCAGCATCGAGTATTTCTTCAAAGTCACACCCTCGGATAAATCAATATGAGTATGATACATTATCCAAGGTCACGCCGCAGTGATAAAAGACTAACCTTTGCCACGATGTTTCCGTAGATGAGATCGCTGTAGGTCAGGGAGTTAAAAGTTATTTCCGGAAAAATTCAAATAATAAATAATCAAAGATTAGAATTTATTATCTATATATTTATTGTCACATTAGCCTACTAAAAAAAATGTTTGACGAGTTGACACTGGTTCGTCAATTCTAACCATATTTGGACAGATGGATACTTTTAACAACAAAATTTCTCATTAAATAAAACTGTTTTAAGGATTTTATCGCGTTTAATTTACTTGTTTTTAATTCCGGACGTTTAACAAAATTACTCTGTAAGTAACAGGGCGTCCGCCGGTAAATTTTACACTTTGAATCGGTCTTGCGGATACAGGTGTTGGGGCAGGGAGGATAATGAGGTATCTTTCGACGCGAGAGTATTGCGGGTTATTTAGCAGACTTGAGTGAGTGGACGCGCTTTCGTAGTTGAAGCGTATTTCACAAATAATAATTTGGTGAAGGTAGCAAGGCGTCGTTTTTATTTGCAGTTTGATATTCGCAAAATAAAGGATGCTTCATCGAACCCATTAATATGGTCATGGGTACGGCAGTTCATAGAGACATGATCACTTGGTATGAGTCTAGGCCTGGTCTCTCAACGTCTGTAACGACTCCTGAAGAAGTTAGTCGCGTGCAATAAGAATTTTTGCGAAATCCAAGCAAATCTGTAATTTTCATCGTCTACGAGCATGAAAAAAAAGTATGTTCAGAAAATATTGCAGACGCGCTTAAAAAGCCATCCGTATAAGCTGCAAATCATTCAACAGCTGGAAGGAGATCATTTCACAAGAAGAGAAAATTACGCTAGGTTCATTTATGGACGATTTTCTACTCCTGCACGTTTAGGTAACATACTGTTTAGTGACGAGGCACATGTTCACGTTGGAGGATATGTCAATAAGTAAAATTAGATAATGGAGCGAATATGACGCCAAAGAAGTTCATCAAAAGCCTCTGCACAGCCTGAGGACAACAGTTTGGTGGGTCATTACCAGTCACAGCATTATCGGACCATATTTTTTTTGGGAACGTGGAACCATCACTGCAGAAAGATATTGCGAGATGCTAGACCTGGACTGGATTATACCAGAGCTACATAACTATGCTCGCTTTAATAACAGAACACATTTCTAGCAGGATGATGCCACGGCACATACCGCTAAAGTCTCAAGAGAGAAAATAAATAAGCCGCTTTGGTGACATCGACTGGCCTCCTTTTTTTACATGTTGAAATGCATACGCATACACATCTCGCGTGGGCAAGGACGGGTTATGTCGGACTCGCACCGACTAAAACCCCATGGTGCCCACCCCACTCGGAGTGGCCACCTCGGGCCGGCTCTACACCACTGGCCAGCCAAAGGGTTCCTCTTTGTTCACCGCGGGTAACCAAGCCACGGCTACTAAGCCCCCCCCCCGCATCGTCAAGGAACCCGTTCGGGGGAGGTTCGACTGGCTCCCTAGATTAACTAACCTAACCCCATATGATTTTTTCCTGTGGGGATACCTTAAATCTTGCGTATATAGCAATACGTCATCGAGCTCTACTAAAAAATATCCGTTGAGTAATCACAAATATCAGTCTGGACTATTTGGATATCTGCGTACGTACGTACGTAAATCTACGTACGTAAATAAATTGGATTGCATTTAAATTTGAAACAGAAATAGAAACTATTTTATTCAATATAGATTATAAATAATACTTATTGAAAGTCACTCTTTTGTTTAATTACTACTGGTTCGAAAAAAAAACCTCAATCCTGGCAAAAACCAGCAAAAAACCCAGCAGGACTTTTTTTTTTAGATAGCTTACGATCATGTACAAAGTTGAGTTTTTGTTATTAGTTAAAGTGTAAACTCTGCCGGCGAACAACCTGTATATGCAGCAGCAATGTACCAGTTGGGTCCCTAGCCAAAATCTGAAATTTGTTCTTACTCAGTCCTAGGGATTCTGAAGCGAAATCATACGCCAGGATTATGATTCTAAAATACTTAGGTTTAGTGTTTAAAACCAGGTAATGAGGATTTTCAATAATACGTTCAAGGATCAATACGGCCAGTCTTCAAGAGATATCACATAATGGTACTGATCCCATTGTGTTCTTTTTATCCCTCTAGTTCGAACTTGCCAGACATTTCTGCTTTCGTACCCAGCGAACTTTCTCTGAGGGTTCAGGCATTTTCATACTAATTTTGAGGTCAGTAAGCTATTTAGTGTTAGTATTGTTTCTTGGCTAATAGAGTTTCGTCAACAGTTTATAAGCTAGCCAAAACGTGCGTGTTTTCTAAAGTATCTACTTTACCGAATGCCTTGCTAAAATCTGTTTAAATTAAATCTGTAGGTACAGATCCGAAAGTAAATTCATTAAAGTTTTTATAAAGACGTTAATTAAGGTTAATAGTTCTGTGGAACGTAATTTGAAAAAACCATTCTAAATGTTGTTTCATTTAGTCAAAATTGCAGCAATTTTTATTCAGTTCCATCACTGAAGAAAAAGTGCTGCTATTTATACTCCTATGCTTTATAAAAGACCAGAATGAGGGACAACATTTATAAATAACTAACGGCCAAAGCAAATGACACTAAGTTATTTAAATTTCTCTTTTGTGTTTACAGTCATTTCACAAGATAGCTTTCACGTCCGATTTAATTTTACTAATTCAAATGGTCCTTTATTACTATTTTTTACCTTCAAAAGATTCAATTATAGTAAGTTTTAAAACATATTCCAATACTCGTAATAAAAAAGTTTGTTAAAAAAATTACCAAACTCTTGAACACTTACGCAACGACAGTCTGAAGAGATCCGCTCTTGTATATTTTTATGCCGTCAAAACAAAATACAAAGAGTATATAACCAGTACGTTTTATACCCAAGTTTTTTATTTAAAACATTTAAAAACTAATGGTAGTGATATAACATAATATATTCTTACTCTAAGATTATAATAAATTCTTCAGTAGCATTAATCAAATACATTTTGACTCTACTAGTTAGTCTGTGATTTTGACTTATATTGTCACCATGACATGATTTAAAAAAATATGTTTTGTTGAATTTAATAGGTATTTTTAAGTAAAAAAACCAAAAGGTAATCAAAATTGTTTGTAGCGTTATAAAATTTTAAGAAATGGTCATTAAATCCAGATATAACGTTAAGACGTAAGTGTAAATTTAATAAATTGGAAGTAATTGTAAATGTATTTTTTAGAACTCGAATAGGACATCAATCGGGTTGGCTCCATTATGTATGGCGTCCATTAATCTAAGGCTGCTTTTTTATAGGAGAGGGGGCAAACAAGCATGCGACTCACCTGATGGTAAGTGACTACCGCCGCCCATGAACAACCGCAGCACCAGGGGAATTGCAGATGCGTTGCCGGCCTTTTAAAAAGGAGTAGGCTCTTTTCTTGAAGGTCCTTAAGTCGTATCGGTCCGGAAAAAACGCTGATGGTATTCGACTCCACAAGGAGGTCGTGCGAGGAGGAAAACATCTTCTAAATCGCACATTGGTGGACCGCTCTATATATGTACCTATATATATGTATACTACACGGTATAATTACCGTTCATAATTTTCAGTTTTGACAATAGACCACTATTTTGTGCGTGTTTTTGTGCACTATCAGTAATATTGTTTTATTGTCCAATTTCCAGTCACGATAGTACTATAATAATAATGTACCATATCGAGCCGTTACCGCCAAATTATCGTAAGCGACACTTATGTCGAAAATGCTTTTTTTATCGTAAGTAGTATTTTAAACCATAACGGATCCATCCCTGTTGACATTTCCCGCCAAAATTTAACCGTTATAAAGTTGTAGCAAGTACTAAAATTATCGTAAATACATATATTTTTAAAGCCATAACGTAAGCGACAACAAGCATTTTTATCGTAAGCGCCTTGCGATCAATTTTTTGTAGCGCAAGTGACACTACTTGTTATCGCAACCGACATAGGTGATAGACTATGAGGCGTTTACTATAAACACACATATTATGTGGCTCATGTGATAATGAATGATTTAGCCCAAAAACCTGACGCCGATTTGGCAACACAGGGCATCTGACATGACATTACGGACAGTAAAATTACATGTAGCAAGCGTATATTCGTTTTTTACTGCCAATGGGCGGAACCACTAGTATGACATTCCGTACACTAAAATTACCATGTAGTGCACAAGCGCCCTAACACGTCCGCATAGATCGCTCGGCAGGAAGTGCTGCCTAGTTAGAAAGACACTGGAAAACCAAAACGCATGTTTGTCTGTTACGCCGAATGCTGAACTGATACTCACCCCTTGTGAACAGATAGCGAATTTCATTTGAATTCAATTTAGTTTAGCAAAATTAATGATATTTTTTGTTACATTGTAATACCGGTCATAGTATCAAATAAACTAAAATGATACTAATATACAAACTTTACTGCGATTACTGCGATCTCCCTCCAAAAGACGATAGAAAAAATATCTACTTTACACCAGATTTAAAATAAGTTGCGAAATAATTTGAGTCGTCTGGTACTGTAATTGCCAATCTCATCATGATCAAGAAGATCATCAAATCTCTTATCTATTGTTCTCATTAATAACTTAAAGATTATTGTATTTTTTCATACTTCAAAATTTATCTCGACGATATATAATAATTATGGTAGCACCCATCATTATCTTATTGTTGTTTGCGAATTTAAATCTATAATTTGTGAATATAACATGTTTAACAACACCATAAATCACTAAATTTAACGTTTTATTCTCGTACACAAATAAATTATGAAATGCCTTAGATATAGATATTTGACTTTTTGTTTTAATAAATAGTCCATGTCACCCCGCTACAATTCGCGTGTGTTGTGTGATTGGGACAATTTCTTCGTCGACTGCCATGCGGAGTTTTCAATGTTATACTAGTGATAAATACCAATATTTGATACAGTGTTAACAACGAAGAGCAAACACGGGATGTAATCGATTTGGGTGCCCCCCGCTGTCCCCGCATGCCCCGTGCTCGCCCCTTGCCCAATGCCAGACTGTAAGTACTTTCTCTAAAGCTATTTGTATACCAAATTATATCATAAACGTATCGATACACAATTTAGCAAATAGGTTAGCTGTAAAACCCTCTTAAATTCGATTACGGCACATTCCAGCCCAATTCTCTTTTGGGTATGAAATAAAATATCTTTGCTTGTTGAAAAGAGACACTTAGTCTATCCGGAGTACTGTACACATGAGTACACTATGATATGAACCGATTCTGGACACAGAGTTAGAGATATCCCAAAAAACCGATGAATTATTTATTACAGACAAAAATGTTTTGAACAGGGATTCTCGTTCCAAAAAAAACAGCTTGTAAATGTAAATGTACCTTTTTCTTATTTATTATCAAAGGACTCATATCATTCGAAAGGTGCTATAAATGTGAACATAAAAGAATAATTTGTGTATGGTGCCGTTATGTAGGTCCAATAAAGTGAACATATATACTTACATGATTTTAATCTATACAAAATATTTTAACCAATTAAATAAAAGAATTTGATACAAGGCTGTATACGCTGAGATGCTTTTGCCTTCCCTACACGGGAAAATACTATAAAAAAGTTGCGCAAACTATTATGGCGTTACCTACAGAGTTGATCGAATTTCCACAATAGATGATACTCATTATTCTTTCTTTATAGCCTATCTATGGTCAACTGGTTAACATAGGCCTTCCCCATAGATACCCTCATAGAGGGATACTTGCTATAGCTCCCATGCTCGGCAGACGGGGTGGCAACTTTAGTTTTTTATTATTTTGAGTTAATATCAGATGACTCAACTCTTGTTTCATTTCCCTCTATCGCCTCTAACGACACCCACGGGATGATAACGAGGTAGTGGATTTACTTGCGCCACCACTGCACGGTGGTATAGGCGAAACGAGTTACATGACTACCTCGTTGGTCTAATGGTCATAAACACGACTGCTGATCATAAGATACCGGATTTGAGTCCCTGGGTCGCGCCAGAAAATCCGTTATTTAACTATCCTGTCAAGAAATTCTCAGTGGTAGCCCAAAGTCAGGAAGTTGGCGGAGTTTCACTCTTGAGCCTCGGAAAGCGGCTAAAGCCGTTGGTATTGCGCCTGATCTCTCTCCGCTCGTGTCGGTTTGCCGTCCCAAAGGACTATGAGATTGAGGGAATAGAGGGTGCACCTGTGCTCGCGTATACACTCGTGAACCATAATCCTGTCCGGTGCAGATGGCTAGTCTCCGTTGAGACTGACTGCCGTAAGTAAAATTCGGTCTGGAGGATGTTATTATTACCATTTATATTAAATACTAGCTGACCCGGCGAACTTCGTACCGCCTAAGAGTCGATTGTAAACAAACAGATCAGATGGTTTTTTGTTTTTAAGTAATGTTACCATCGTATAAATAATGACAAATATTGACATTAATATTTATACGATACTAACGTCACTCAATTGTTTTGCCTTCCCGGAACCCCTCCACTAACACTTAACCTTTATGGTATGGTATTAAAGTTCAAATTGACTTTTAAGTATTATTACGAATATTTTGTATGGGAATATAGAAAAGTGTTGTATTTATCTGGCAATTTTTTATAATTTTTCTCTCCGTAAGAACCATCTTCGTACTTCAAGGAATATTATAAATAAAGAATTAGCGAAATCGGTTCAGCTGCTCCCGAGATTTGCGCTTAGTAACACATTCAGCGATTCATTTTTATATTATAGATAGTACATCAATATCAGTTACATTTCCTTGCATTTACAGATATCCTGGCCCCAAAACGCGTACAAAAATAAAGACCACCGACGACGACAAACTTATTAAGAGGCACACGAAAGCGAAGCCACGGAGACTGGCGCCTAATCCAAGGCTGTATCAGGCACCTCCTCCACGCCCAATACTGCCTCCAGCGCCCCCTTTGCACTCGAAAATATCCTGGGCGCCCCCTATCCCATCGACTGCCCTGGACACTGCTTCACTGGCGGCTCTACGCCTGGCGGAGCTCCGTTCCTCAGCCGCCTGTGCCACTTCACCTCTTCATCATTTAGGAACCACTGCAAGCCAGCAGAGGCATACTGGTGACAACCAAGGCCGAAGAACACGGAAACATAAACTACGCCGTGACCCGCGGAGTAGTCAGAATCCTCTTAAAGATCAACTCGATGTCCTTACACCAGTGGCTCCAATACAGTGGAAATTGCGTGAGAACAGAGCAACACATGTCGCGATCTAGTAATAAAAGTAAAAAATAAACACACTAAAGTATGTATTTCTATTTGTTTCATTGGGCAACAGCTTGGAGTACACATAAGTAAGCTCTTATATATAGCTCTTAGGGGAACAAACATCATCATAAATCAGTACATTGTGTAGAAGATGATAGCTAAATAAAGTCTTAGACCAGTCATGTCAAGCATATGGCCAGATCATTATTAAGCGATCCGTGACGTGATCTACAAAGTCAAGCCAAAGCGATGATGCCGGCCTTTTAGTTCACAGTAGCAATACTTTAGTTCCAGAATAAATTTTATTTTTATCTTTTCTTTATAAGTAAATTTGTTTCGAGTCTGGCTCACTAGCACTCTCTTAATTTTGTAACTGGCCCTGTAAAAAATTGAATTTCCCAACCCTGCGTTAAACTCGGCTCGAAATTGTGGTGATATTAATTTGTAAAATAAAATTGCTTTTTAAGAATTCTGATGAAGTGTTATTTTAAAAATAGTTTTTTTAAATATGTGAACTCTGGGCTCGCGTTCCTTTTAAATACACAGTTCATAATACAGGTGGAGAAGCTGTATTATGAACGTGCTGCAGCTATTTATACTGCCGGGAAAGAACCACATTTTTTATAGGAGAGGAGGCAAACGAGCATGCAGCTCACCGATTGCGTCGGTTGCCGCCCATGAACAACAGCTGCAACACCAGGGGAATTGCAGGTGCGTTGCCGGCAAAATACGGTTTTAAAACTAAACGAGTTCTTTTTTTTAATTTATTTATTCAAACAAAGTTAGGTACATTATTACTGAATTTCTCTCGCCAACTTTTCTCAGTGCAAAAATATATGCTCGTCAAACTGCAATCAGTTTGTCGGCGAGTGCACGTTCTTAAAAACTATAAATTATTATGCACGATCACCTACATTACAAATACAATTAGTGAACATTGAGATATGGTATAATATTTTGGGGAAACTCCACAGGACGAAAATTAGTCTTTAAAGCGCAAAAGAAGCCGGTTGCAGGTTACCAACAGCTGCAAACCGCATTTCATTGATCTTAACATACTGACCCTGTCATCTTTATATATATTCGAAGTGGCCATGTTTGTTAGGAAACATTTTAGCATATTTGAAACCACTAATAGTAAACGTCACAGAAACACACTGCGTATTAAACCTCACAAAACAGCGCTATATTTAAAAAGTTTCCTGGGTATGGCTCCTAAAATATTTTGATGACAAAATGAATAGCTTTTAGCACCTACAATTAATGTCAGGTTTATTTATTATATTTTATTTATTATATTTTTATCATTATGTTATTAAGAATTATAACTTTAATTTATTACGAAAAATAACCGATAACCTTCGAAAAATACAACTTCAAACCTTCGTCATCGCCCTCAAGTACCCCATTCATTCGCTCCCGAGCAGATATTGTCGGCAGTCTTCACATTCTGCAAGCCATCTAGCTTTACAAAGGTTCATCGCAGCACTGGAATAATAATGCTTCCTGTTCCTTCAAGCTACTCTCTGCGCTAGAGTGTTCGGCACGGTTCTGAGCCTTACTGCTCGCCTCTGCTTCACGGCACTCTCGCAGATTACTTGCCTTCTTCTCGACTCACCGCAGTCTACAAGACAATTCCCTGGCACTTGCATATTCGTCGACATCTAGACTGCACTATCGACCTCCGGTCTGAGCAGGGGGGTGATGTGGCGGCGCTGTAGTCGTGCCACAAGCGAAACACATCGAAGCCTAAATCGCACTAACCGCTTTGGAATTGCCCGCTTACGTATTATTGTTTTTATTGTTAAATTATTATTGTGAACTTTCTCTGCTTCTTCTCTGTACTCTATACTTTCCTGTGAACTGTCTGTGCTTGTGCTATACTACTTCTGTATGTATATAGTGTTGCGTTGTAATTCGGAGTAAATACCAAAAGAATGTGAGTAACTTTTTATTTTACCTACGCAACCCACAAGGTAATAGATAATAAAAACAATAATTTATGCACTTTTTCTTAAACATCGGTACTAATTATTATTGAAATTGTAATGTTATTACATATTTACATTAGTATATGTAATGCAAGTGATAACCAAATATTTCTATGCCTTCTAAGGCGAAACATAGTGATACTTATCATACATTTTCCACCAAGCTTGTAACTTTTTTACCTATGTTTTACAAATAAATTATTTTGAATTTTTAATTTTTTTTTTGTAAAATATATTTAATTAATCAAAGTATGGCATCGTTGTTATCTATGCACTTTTGCCGTCTCATAGGTAGTTCATTGATTACTTTACTAAAAAACCATGGGTGCGAGGATCAATAAACTCTTTGAAGGCGGTTTGGAATGCCGCATCGAAATTGAATTTTTTACTTGTAAGAAGTTGTGCAAATTCCGGAAAAAATGGTAATCTGTTGGAGCAAGGTCCGGGGAGTACGGTAGATGTCGCAGACATTCCAATTGTAGCTCATCTAACTTAGTGGTTGTTTGTTGTGCAGTGTTTGGTCTTGCGTTGTCGTGAAGCAGCAGTGGCCTAGAGCGATTGACCAATCTCGGTTGTTTAGCAGCTAGTTCTTCCTTCATGGTTTGCAGTTGCTGACAATAGATATCTGCCCTAATCGTTTGGCCAGATTGTATAAAGCTGTAGTGAATAACACCAGCGCTAGTCCACCAAACACTCACTATTAACTTTTTCTGAGTCAATTTTCGTTTAGGGCAGGATTTGGCTAGGTCTCCAGGGTTCAGCCATTGCGACGAGCGCTTCCAATTGTCGTACAGTATCCACTTTTCATCACAAGTAATGATACGATTTAAAATCCATTATTTTGTCGGTTGAGCAAAGTAACACAGCAGTCGACGCGTGTTTGCAAGTTCGATTCACTGAATTCATGAGGTACCCATCGTTCAATTTTTTTACTTTCCTGATTTGCTTTAAGTGGATTAATACAGTTTTATCACTTACCCCGAAGCCTGCAGCTATCTCTGAAGTGCTTTGTGATGGATCCACTTCCACAATAGCCTTTAATTCTTCATTTTCCGCTTTGGTCTCCGGCCGTCCACGGGGTTAGTTCTGAAGGTCGAAATATCCAAAACGTTGAAACCAAAAACATACCGTGCTTTCTTTTGCGACACCAGCCCCGTACACATAATTAATCCTTCGAGGTGTTTCTGAAGCACTGGTGCCACGGTAGAACTCGTACTCGTAAATATACCGACATTTCATGTTTTCCATTGTGCGGTAATAAGCGATGCCCAAGAAAAAAATAGTGAGAAAAAAACAAATGAATGACTGTTTTCAAAATTCAAATGTACCAGCTAAATGAATTTATAAATTTGAATTTGGAATTCTTAACCAACGACGATATATTTTAGATCAGTGGTCAGTAGGACAAAACTCTAATCTCATGTGAGGACTTAATATTAACAACAAAACAATTAAAAAATAGTGTGATAGTGATAACCTCATTCCCAGGAGTATTATCTTCCATTAATTCTTTTATTTATATTTTAATAAATCTTTTCATACAATCTTTGTATATAATGTGAGTCAATAGGCCATCAATAGGCTTTTTATATTTTTCAGTATAATATAACTCGTGTATGATATATTATCGTTCAAAATCCATTTAAGATTTAGTTTGAAATAAACTATTGTATATCGAAGAGCCATAAAGCCGTTTCAATAACGCGTTCGCAATAAAAAACAGTTGGCGCAAGTATTACTTTAGTAATGTAAAACTCTTGGTTTAAATGTGAAAAGTGGGCGATGTCTTGGGCGCGATGGCGCGTGGTGCTGCTCACCGTGACAGTAGCAGCCTCTGCCACTGCCACGGCCGTGGCCGCAGCCGGCGACTCCAACGAGGAACTAAATCAGGCGCTCGTACTCGTAGAGATCCTTAAATCGGGTGAGAAATCTACCACCAAATCAATAAATTCTCAATATTTTAAGTTTTAACGTGAAAATTGTCTTACGCAAATATATTTACTAATAATTAACTAATATATTTAGTTAAATCGGTCTAACGTAGAAGTGACTGCATCTGCCCAGTGGTCTTTGTGGCAACTGTTGATCATGAGGTTCTAGAATCGAAGCTCGGTTTGGGCCTTTATCAGTTATTGGGTTTTTATATCAAGAAATTTTTATTTTAATTTTGAAAAGTTACCCTCACACCAGAATTTTCTCCTGCATCATGGTTCACATACATAAATTTCATAACGACAAAATGAGCCGTTGGTAACTCCGGTCGTGTCGGATTGCCGCTATGAGATTACGAGAATAAAGAGTGCACCTGTGCTTACGTACACACTTGTGCACTGCAATCCATTCCTACGTGGATGACCCGCCCCGGTGAGAATGGCTGCCGTGACCAAAAAGCATCTACGTGAGACCGATTTAACTAAATATATTAGTAAATATATTTGCGTAAGACAATTTTCACGTTAAAACTTAAAACTTATAATATAACTTATATATATATATATATACAGGTTGTCCCAGTAATGGTGGATAATCTGGTACGTAATCTGTTCGGGCAGCGAGGGAGGAGGCCTTGGTTCCCTAAAAAAAATTCTATCCCGAACGATTCGCGGTCTACGCCGGGTTTTATAAAATTCCGAAAATTCGTACTTCTGCTCACATTTGTGGTCATCACTTCCGCAGTTTTATGCATATATCAGATTTTTTTCTTTTAATGTGTTCCTTAATAATGATGTTTCTAAATTACCTCTAAAATTTTCAACTACTATGGGTAGTATTTTACAAAACGGCACTAATCATAAGTTTAAATTTTTTACTTTATTTAACTGCTAAGTTTGAGCACCTGTGGTGAAAAAAAATGTAAAGGATCTGTGTGGCCAACCATTTAAAAAGTTTGCCTATATCATAAGGATTCTAAAACATAAACATACCATATACTTAATGTCATTACTTACTGAGCTATAGCCGTTAATGTGTAAAAGTAGGCATTTCATTACAAAATTACAAAATTATTGGCAGATAGT